TCTCTTTCCCTGATTCGAGCAGACACAGCATGAAGGTGCGCAATACCCGCCAGGCCTGGGGGGTGGGTGCAGGGCAGGGGTGAGCTTGAGACCTGGGGAGGGGAGCATCTCTCTTCCTTTCTTCCCACCCCCGTCTTCTGTTGGTGTCGGGATGAGCTAAGGGAAAGCAGGGCCTTTGCAGTAAATGAGCTCTGAGGTCTGGTGTCCAGTTTTCTGACCTTCTCTAGAATCTGGGGGACTCACACCTGGATGATGACATCAAGGCTGCTGGAGAAGTCCCACGTTACACCCTCTCTTCTTGATCATTTATCCACCCATCCACCTTGCAGATCTACTGTGGGCCGGTCACTCTGTAAGTGTGGGGATCTAGCAATGAAAGAAGACCCCCTTTTGTGGAACCTATGTCTGAGAGGAGTCAGACAACAGAGTCAAAAAGAAAAAGATGTAGTGTCTTAAAAGAAGAGATGTGATGGGGAAAAAATTGAATCCCAAAAGGGGGATGGGGAGAGTGGAGGAAAGGTGGCCAGGCAGGGCCTCACTGAGGAGGAAGGGGATACCTGGGCACAGCCCGGAAGGAGAGGAGGGAGAAGTCAAGGGATGTTTGGGGGCAAGAACATTCTAGGCAGCGAGAACAGCCAGTGCAAAGGCCCTGAGGTGGGAGCAGGCCTGGAGTGTGAGAGAAACAGGAGATGGTGCAGCCAGAGCAGAGGGAGCGAAGCAGGGGGGATTGGGGAGGGCTGAGAGTCACCTGCAGGCCCTGCGGCTGCTGGGAGGACGTGGGTTTTACTGACACCCTTTGCTCTTGTCACAGCAGCTCAGCAAGTGCTTCAGTACCTGCTGCCAGTGGCCCTTTGCTGGAGGTCCTGGGCACCATGATGTCCAGTTCAACATACCCTCATTATTCCCATTTTATAGATGAGAAAACGGACACGCTAGCATGTCAGGTAAACCCTGAGGGATAAGAAGGGATTCATCTGGAAAGGGGTATATATGGGGGTGGGGAGGGCCCAGGCCTGTCTGATGGTGTCAGGGAGGAGACAGTGAGCCCTCTGCCAGACAAAAGGAAACCGGCCTTTCTGTGGCTGCCCCACGTGGCCTCCAGAAAAGCCCAAACCTTCCTGTCACCACCTGCCTGAAGGGGCAGGAGGCCCTGCTGTCCCCACACTTCCTCCCCCAGGCTGATGGCCCTCTGAGTCACAGCCAGCAGCCTTTGAGTTTGCCCCTGGGGGGCGGAGGGTTGATGCAGACACAGAACCAGGTTCCCTATCAGGCAGGCCTAAAGGGCTTGTGGGAGGAAATGAGGAAAAAATGAGGCTGCGTGGACCCGGTTGGGGAAGCTACTTCGAGGAATGTGGCCAACCTCCTGGCCTGTCCAGCAAGCACCATGGACTCGATGCTTAGAAAATGTTTGATCGTTCATCTGACAGGGGTCTCCTTTGTGCCGGGCCCTGTGTCCTGCGATGGGTGGGTGGGTGGGTGGCTGTGGAAAGGGTTGAATGGACGATTCTGTGACTCACGAATGGATGTATTAATTACCCACTGCTGTGTAACAAATCACCCCAGATGCAGTGACTGGAAACAAGCGTATTTGTTTCTGCGGATCAGGAATTCAGGAGTGACTTAGCTGCGTGGTTCCGGCTCACGGCTCGCTCCCGCGTAGCGGCAATCAGGGTGTCAGCCAAGGCCGCGGTCTTGTCTGAAAGCTCCGCTGGGCTGGAGGGTGGCGCCCCCCCACCGCTTCTGGTGGGAGGCCTCAGTTTCTCATCATACGGTGTCCAGAAGGCAGCGAGAGTGTTCTGACGTCTCTCCCCCTAAAGTGTGTCATCAGAGAGACAGAAAGACCAGAGTCAGAACTAGGGTGACCTTGGGGTGCCTGGGTGGCTTAGTTGGTTAAGCGTCCGACTTTCGCTTAGGTCATGGTCTCACGGTTCGTGGGTTCGAGCCCCGCATCAGGCTCTGTGCTGACTGCCAGCTAGGAGCCTGGAGCCTGTTTCAGTCTGTGACTCCCTCTCTCTCTGGCCCTCCCCTGCTCATGCTGTCTCTCTCTCTCTCCCCTAGAAATAAATAAATAAATAAATAAATAAATAAATAAATAAATAAAACATTAAAAAAAAAAAAAAAAGAACTACGGTGACCTTGACCACCAGGTCTCTGATCCCCCCCACCCCCCACAACGCTTCTGCTTTTGGCCTATTTGTTAGCAGCAAGGCACTAAGATCAGCCCATGCTCAGGGGAGGGAGACTAGGGTCCCCCTCTTGAAGGAAGAGCATCAGAGAATTTGTGGACCAACTGTAAGCCCATGACAACAGGTAAATGGATGGCGTACCCCTGTCCTTCCCTGATGCTGGAACCTTACAATAATCTCTGACCACAGCTGTCTGTGAACCCCCCCCCCCAACACTTGGGGACAAGTCTCAGTTCAGGGGCTCAGTCCCCAGCCCCTCTTACTGAATTGTTCTGAGCAGAGACTTGGACATTTGTGGTTTTGTTTTGTGGAATGATCTTTTTTTTTTAAATGTTTATTTATTTTAGAGAGAGAATGTGCAAGCACGGAGGGGCAGAGAGAGAAAGGGACAGAGGATCAGAAGCGGGCTCTGCACTGTCAGCACAGAACCCCACGCGGGGCTCAAACCCGTGACCCGCGGGATCATGACCCGAGCTGAAGTTGGATGCTTAACCGACGGAGCTGCCCAGGCGCCTTTCTTTTGTGGAATGATCTTAAACTTTAATCATGACGTTTAGGTTTCCACTGTTTTTTTTTTTTTTATGGTGGTAAAATGTGCATAATGTAAAACTGACCGTTTAAGCCGTTTTTGAGTGTGCAGTTCGGTAGCAAGAAGTGGCAACCACCACTTCCAGAAATGTTCATCTTCCCGAACTGAAACTCTACCCCTTAAACGCTGACTCCCCACCCCGCCCTCCTCCAGCCCAGAGTGAGCCCTGCTTTCAGTCTTTATGAATTCGACCTCAGAAGAGAGGCCTCACCTGTGCCTGGCTTGACGTACTCACTTAGCGCAGTGACTGCCGTCATCCCCTGGAGATCATCCACGCAGTACCCGTGTCCGAGTATCATCCCCCTTGTGGCCAAATAGCATCTCATTGTCCATACGGACCACATTTTGTTTATCCGTCATTCGGCGGTGGACGTTGGGGTGGTTCTCACGCTGGTATTTTTAAAGCTCCCAGATGATTCTCATGAGCCATCAGGGATGAAAACTGAGGTCTTAGACCAGTGGTTCTTAAGCCGGCCTGAACCTCCAAATCACCTGGTAGCTGTTAAAAAGAGACACCAGTGCCTGGCGAGCATCACAGACCTACAGAGCCGCTGAATTGGATTCTCTGGAGGTGGACCCCGGAGTCTGCAAGAATATGCAGTTACTTCCAGAATGCCAGACTCATTTCCAGGTCTCTGCTGCCCCCTGGTGGCAGCACCTGGGATCCTCTCCAGCACTGGCTTGCCTGCCCCCTAAGGAGCCCAGAAGAGCCTTCCCTGGTGCCATTCCCTGGCGGTCTGGGACCCTGCCGGGCTCTCCCTGCCTGGCCTCCCCCACTCTACTTCCTGGTTTCAGACGAGTCTGTTAGAGAGGAGAAAGCACAGACAGGTCCAGGACTCCGCTTTGCTCCTTGCCAGCTATGTGACCTTGAACAAGCCATTTACTTGTTTCTGGGAGGTGACCACTGGTCCCCTTGACAGGTCCCTGAGATCGCAATTAAGTATGTATGTTAGCTTTGGGGACAACCTAGAATTTCTTATCCTTGGCACTGCTGACGTTTGGGTAGGATCATGCCTCACGCCTGTGTATTGTAGGCTGTTAAACAGCGTCCCTGGCCTCAACCCGCTAGATGCCAATGAACACCCCCAGCCCTGCGTTTTGATGATAAACATTGTTTCCAGACATGGATAAATGTCCCCTGGGGGAGGGTTGCCAGACAAAATGCACGTTTCCCAGTTAGATTTGAATTTCAGAGAAACGACTCACAACTCTTTACTAGAATTCTGTCCCAAAGATTGCATTTTTACTTGCTAAACCCGGAACACCTGTGCAACCACCTCAGCTGAGGGCCGCTGTCCCGGGAGCGTCTGATACTAGGGTGGAAGCCTAAGATACCAGATGGAGAAGAGGCTGCAGGAACGCGCTGGCCCAGCCTGGCCGCGGAGGGGCGCTGTCTGGGGGCAGGCGCGGCAATGGTGAGTGAGGTGAGGCTGGGGGAGAAGGGTGGCCGTGGGAGAGGAAGCTGGGCTCACAGTCAGGCCCAGTCCCTCTGGGGGCTCAGAGCCACTGATGTGCGGGGGCAGGGGACACCTTGTTTCCCCAGCACCTGGGGACAGGGCAGTTTGTGGCCGACCACAAGTTGGAGCAGTTCACCCCCAGCTTCTCCCCAGAGAGAACCCTCAGTCGTGGGGAGTCGGCCCCAACTTGCTCATTTGCAAGAGGAAGCAAGGCTCAGAGAGGGGCAGGGACTGGCCCCAAGCCACACAGCCAGCCTGTGGCAGTGGCAAAACTGGCATCTGGCTCTTCAATCCAGGACTTTCACCCCTGGGGTGGAGCCTGGGAATGTTCTCAGCTTGTGGTAATTCCTCTGAGAGCTCCCAGAATTTTCCAGACGCAGAGGGACTGAAGATGGGCTTCAGCCTGAGGCCCGGCAACCTGAGGCTGTGGTCCCCAGCTGCTCTCCATACTCCCCCAGGAGAGTGCTGGGACCCCTTCTGGGGCTGTCCCTGTCGTGTCCATCTGCTGTCATCATCTGATAGGGAGGGAGTGCTTGGACTTGGAACCAGACTGTCGGGAGCTGAAAACAGGCTCTTCCCCTTTTAACGAGCTCTGACCTGAGCCAATCTGTGCTTTTTCATCTGTAAAATGGGAATGATAAGAATGATACCTCCTTTGTAGGGTTGTTAGAAGGATTTGACGGATTAACGAGAAGGAATGCTTCAAACAGTAAGTGACAGGTAGTAAGGTTTACCATTTATCTTACTTTCCTCTAGTCTTCGGGTGACATCACCCCTTTTCCTCTGGAAGCCGGTTCGGTGGGGCTGTCAATCACAGTCACCCTGACCAGCCTGAAGAGGCACTGGAGTCAAGCAAGGAGCAGTCATTGCACCCCTATTGCCCAGTCACTGGGTTGATGAGTGAGACAACCCTGATGAAGCTCTACTGAGTTCCTGGATCCAGCCTGACCTGAAGGTAGTGCCCCATATGTGAGAAGATAAATTTCCATTTCACTTGAGCAAGTCTGAAGAGAGTTCTGACCCGTATACCCTTTCTGCTTCATAGAGCAAGAGAGGTTCCCACAAGGCAGCCTCCTCCCATGGACCACGCCTGTCAGCCTTGGTTTTGATCCAGCCCCACACAAGGCCAACACCCCACTCTCCGGGAGTCAGAGGGAGATTCTCTGTTTGAGCTGTGATTGGAGCTCACAACAACCGGAAACAAACTTGTATAAAGTACCTCGATCTGCCACAGATAGTGCTGGGGCTTTGATGTTATTCTAGCTGCATTTTATAGATGAGGAAAGTGTGGCTCAGAGAGGTAAGATGATTTCCCCAAGCCCACACAGCCTAGAAGGGGAATCACTTCAGTGTGAACCCAGGTATTCTGGCTCTAAAGCAGATACACTTCCACTGCACCACATGACTTATTTCCTGCGGGGGGCGGGGGGGGGATTTTCTGTTCCATTAAAAATTTTAATTGTAAAAGCATAAAATTTACCATGGGGGAGGGAGAAGCAGTGTAAGTCAGCCTCCCCCTTCTCAGCCAAAAGATGACCTAGGGAATCAATTACTCCAAGTAGACTGGTGCCCTGGAAAACAGGAGGCTAGGTCCCCCCATTCATTCATTCAACACCTATTTACTGAACCCCTACTCAGTGCCAGGCAACATTCAAGGCAGGGCCTGGCATGAGCTTCTTCTCAAGGGTAGCCCTGCCCCTGCGCAGCAAGAGGGAGTGCCACCTTCAGTCCTGTGCCCAGGGGTCTATCTTGGTCACTCTAGTTACAGCGAAGTCCTGGGCAAAGAGCAGGTTCAAGGTCAAGTAGAATTTAGATGAGTGACAGAGTTCCAGCCCAGCCAGAGCAGAAACTCCCAATGCACTGTCCCCGAGAAATGATTCTGTTAACAAGGCGTCTGGGGCGCACTTAGCACAATGATGTGCAGTGTGGCCTGGACACCGCTCTTGGGGGTCCCGGGGAGAGAACCAGGTCAGACAGACACCAGCACATGTAAACACGGCATTACTACCTGCGGACGGCGTTCTGAAGGGAAGGGTGGGGTGCTCTGCAGGGGCGTTACCAGGATAAGAACCATCTCTCCGGGGAGGTGATGTTTAGGCTGGGCAGCCCCTCAGAAGCCTGGAGCCTAGCCCTGGCCTCCCCCGGCCTTCTAAATTCTCGTAACCATAAACGGGCTGCTTCCTTTGCTTCTCTAGCCCTGGAGGCTGTAGCTGCTCTGTGTCATTATTAACCCATGATACCTTTTTTTTTTTTTTTTTAACCCATGATACCTTTTTAATGGACTGACTTTATGTTCTCTGTGAAAAGAATGAGAGTGCTTTCTATCTCTTGGTTGGACTCTGAATGACACAGAATGAATGAACCGCTGTAAGATGAGCAAAGAACAGAAGGTAGCACAGTCCAGGCTGAGGCACCTGGGTGGCCAAAGGCCAGGAGCCAGGACCGGGGGGCTGGAGGGGATTAATGGGGTGGCAGGTAGAATCAGGTGAATGTGGACAGGTCGGCTCTTACATGGTACGGAGTCCGCATGGGATCCTGGGAGCGGGGGGCGGGGGGAGCCATGGAACATAATACAGCGACTGAGTGATTTAACTTTCAAAGACTGCCCTGGCTACCGTGAGCCTAACTCGCCGGAGCGGCCAAGAGTGCGTAGGAGCCAGAGAGCCTGTTAAAAGTTGCTAACTTCCTCTTTTTTTTTTTCTTTCTTTCTTTCTTTACTGCTTAGAAGGGAGCAGGTGTCTCAAGGAAGAAAAATATGGGGGCGCTTCTGGCGCAACGTGATGTCACAGAATAAAGGCCGGGACCTCATGGCCGCTCGAAAACTCAACAGTACAGAGAATGCCAGGACCCTTAAGTGAACCCCTACGAACCCTAAAGTGAGTCAGAGAAAGTCTCAACCGGTGACACCCCCCCCCCCGACCCCCGGCCCAGGGCCGTGCGGCCACGAACGGAGCCCGCCTGCTGGCCCGAAGACGGTAGAAAGCGCTTTCAGGCCTGCCCAGGGGCTCCCGGTGGATAAGCGTGGCCCTTACTCCCACCGGATGCCGTCAGGCCACGAGAGGGAGACGGCCACGAGTGGGTGACGGCCCCGGGGATCCTCCATGGGTGCTCGCGGTCCGGCTCCCATCACAAAAACTCCAACTCCCAGGAAACGCCCGGGCCGGAAGCGGAAGCGACTCGCGGGCGTGTGCGCACTGGATTCTGGGAAGTGTAGTCCACAGAGTCCGAAAGAGTCCGTGCGAGCGGTGCATTCTGGGGAAGGTAGTCTTCAAGTGGTCTGAGAGCCGGTGGTGCGAGCTGGAATGGTTCAGCTGGAATGGTTCGTCTGCACCCAACACCGAGGCAGGGGATTAACAGCTTTTTGGATTTAGAATGAATATGTAGAATTTGTTTTTGTCTCTCCCAACCACCCACACCCAAGGGAGAATAGGACCTATCCATGCTTCAGTGATGGTGAGCAGGCCGGTTAGCCTCTGTGAACCTCTGTATCCGTATCTGTAAAATGGGCAGATTAATCATTCTCACTTGGCAGCCTTGCTAACTCCATCAAGCAGCTATCAAGGTGCTTAACACACCTTCCTTGCTTAACAAACCCCACTTCCCCTTGAAGCTGAGCTTACAGAGCAAATGGATGTGTTTGTAGCCAAGAGCAAAACTTGTGTTTCAGGGGAGCACTCGTGACGTTTCTCTGCAAAGTAGGATTTCCTGCCAATTCCAGCCAAAACTCATGGGGGGAAAGATAAGGAAATCTTGTCACCCAGAGACTCAGCAAGGACGTGTGACCTTACTAGCCAGGACACAGTGAGATGCAAGTTAAAAAATGAGCCGGGCGCCTGGGTGGCTCAGCAGCTCAAGTGTCTGACTTCTCAGGTCGTGATCTCACGGTTGGTGAGTTCCAGCCTTAGGCTGGGCTCCACGCTGGCAGCGTGGCATTTTCTCTCTCGCTTTCTTTCTGCACCTCCCCCACTCGCACTTTCTCTCTCTCAAAATAAATAAACTTAAAAAGAGAGAGAGAGAGACTCCTGGGGCAGAGTGGCCTCACACAGTATCAATGGAAGTATTAAGGGGTGTGTCCCCTATAAAGGGCAATTATGCAGGTGCCATGATTCCACTTGTAGGAATTTATCTTACAGACACACGAGACTGTTTCAAAATGACAGAAGTTTAAAATATTCATTGTAGCTTTGTTTATGAAAGTGATTGGAAATCATCTAGGCCTCTATGGGCAGAAGACAAGTTACATAAATTGTGGTACATCCTGCGCAGGGATACTATGTTGCCATTAGCACCAGTGAGGTGTAAGGTCACTTATGTAACATTCCTGCACAAAAGTGTTCATCCTAAATATATTGTGAAGAAAGTATAAGAGAAATCCAAATTGAGGGATATTTTGCAAAACTGGCCTCAAAAATTTGATGTTGTAGAAGACCAAATAGCTGGGAGATTGAAGAAGATTAAACAGACCTGGCACTTACGGGCACTGGGCAATCCTTCATTGGAGCCTGTTCTTAAAAAGGACATTTTAATCAGACACCTGGGGCACTTTGATTATGGGCCATATGTTAGACAATAGCATTGGATCAATGTTGACTTCCCTGACTGTGATCATTGTATTGTGGTTGTGTAGGAGAATGTCCTTCTTAGTAGCTGTCTGCCGAAGTATGTAGAACTGAAATACCAACTCTTGGCTCTTGGATAGTTTAGAAAAAAGAGAGACAGATAAAGCAAATGTGGTGTGTATTAACCCTTCACTTGGTGCATCCAGCTTTAAATATATGGTTGTTCATGTTCCTCTTCTTGCAACTTTTTTATAGTGTTAAAACTTTCAAAGTAAACAGCAGGCATCAAAAAGAACGAGGAAGCTTCACATGCACTGATGGGGGAAAAGCTTCAAGAAACATTGGTAAGATTTTTGTTTTGTTTTGTTTTGTTTTTTAAAGCAAGGTGCAGAGGCGGAAATGCACTAAACACCCGGGGAGAAGACCCAAAAAAAGAGATAACAAAGGCTGACTCTGGGAAGGGTACCTGGGGGCGGGGGAGTGCGTGGGGGAGGTGGTCAGAAGTGGGACGCTTGCTTCTCACACTTACCCTTTTAGACCTTTTGAATTTTGTATCATTTCCATTCAGATTAAAAAAATAATAATAACTTCGAAGAAGACTGTTACTGGGAAAGCACTTGTGGTCAGAAAACCCCAGACTGGGCTCCCCTGCTCCCCAGCTGTTTTTGGGAAACCCAAAACAGAAGGAAGGAAAACCAGTTACTTTCACATCCTTTCCCACATCTGATTCTCATCACAACCCAGTGAGCCAGACGGGTTTTATTTGACCCCTTTTATAGATTAGGAAAACTGAGGATCAGAGAGTCTTGGCAATTTGGCTGAAGTCATGCAGTGAGACACAATTAGAGCTGAGATTGAACCTGAGTCCTTCCCAGTGACCCAGCCTGGCTCCTTCCTTCCTGCAGGTGACCTCTCCAAGCTCTAAGGGTTGGATGTAGCAAGAGAGAGCCCGGAGTAGGGGGCAGGGGTGGGGTTGACTGCCAGGCTCTGGGGGCTCACCGAAGCTCAGCCCAGCGGCCTTTCCGCTGTTGCTTTTACACGGGGCTGTCCAGGCAGGAAACAGAAGTCAACCCTCAGCACCGAAAGCATAGATTTGATTTACATGTTCATGGGCAGCTGGTTGAGAGTTTATTTGGGGGACCCAGAGCTGACTCAGCCAAAGGGCCTCTTCCCTGAGCCCATCTGGGCTGCTCTTTACCATCTCTGTATCTTTTTGTTTTTAAGTTTATTTATTTAAAAAAATGTTTTAAAACATTTTTATTTATTATTGAGAGACAGAAAGACAGAGCATGAGCATGGGAGGGGCAGAGAGAGGGGGAGACACAGAATCTGAAGGAGGCTCCAGGCTCTGAGCTGTCAGCATAAAGACTGACATGAGGCTTGAACTCACAAACCATGGAAATCATGACCTGAGCTGAAATTGGATGCTTAGCCAACTAAGCCATCCAGGTGCCCCTTAGTTTATTTATTTACTTAAAGAGAGAGGGAGAGAGAGAGAGAGAGCATGCCCAAGTAGTGGAGGGGCAGAGAAAGAGGGAGAGAGAACCCCAAGCAGGCTCTGCACTGTCAGTGTAAAGCCTGATACGATACGGGGGTTTGATCCCACAAACCATGAGATCATGACCTGAGCCGAAATCAAGAGTCAGATGCTTAACTGACTGAGCCACCCAGGTGCTCTTCCCCTCATCTCAGTAATCTTAAACAGAGTGTTTTTTTTTTTTTTAATTTAAAAAGTAATAAATATAATAGATATTGTTACCGAGTCAAACAGTAAAGTACTTAGATGGCAATTTGACATTTCTGTCAAAACTTAAAACCTATATATATGCATGCTTTGGTATGTGACCCAGCACTTACAATGGAAACTATTTTTTTTCTGTGAATATACCCACCCAAGTATTCAAAGATATGTATGGAAGAATGCATTGCTTATAATGCAAAGACGCAGAACTGTAAACAGCCCGCCAGTAGAGCCATTGCTTAATCCAACTGGGCTCCATCCACATCGAATAAAAACAAAGACAATGCAGTTTGCTGCATTTGCCAACCTGGAAAGATGTCCCTAGTGCATTGTTAAATCAAGTAAGATCCCATTTCGAGAGGTAAAAAATGAGCTACGAGCCTACATACACATAGAGATCTACATGTTTGAACAAACGTAGAAAACCATTTATAAAAAGTACAAACTGTTTGATTTGAATGTAAAAAGAGCATTTAATTTTCGTTTTTTGGAGGGATAATGAGGTTGACCTTGTTTGTTTCTTTTTTTAAGTTGGCCAAGTGTGTTTCCTTTTGTGGGAATTGCTGAAATACTGCTGTCCCTTGGTCTTTTGTCACAGAAACTACGTGTCGGCTTCTGGCACCAGTGTCCCAAGAGTTTCTATTTAGATTTCCAGCTCTTGCTTTAGGCAGGTATTTTGGAAAAGAGGTTGCTGAGCTTGAAGCAGAGGACGATCTCGGTCTTCATGTAACGAAGTCTCCTGTGAGATGAAGGGCTCTGAGAAATGAAGAGGTTTCTTGCCCAAAGCATTGTTCTTTCTTTCAATTCTGGGGTCTTCTTGCAAAGTTTGGTTCTTGGTGGACGTGGATGGTGTGAAACGGACGTGGAGGCAGCTGTAATGTTTGAAAGAGGGGGGAGGGGAAGCAGAGATGGACCAGAGATGGACCTTCCCTGGAGGTGCTGGAGGATTAGATGATGCCATGGAGGGGGGACCTCTGGAGAGGTGGGACTCAACTATTCTTGTCCTTGAGATGCTTCTGAATCTCTCTCTATTTGTGGTAGCTGCATGGCTGATGGGTCTCTCTGCATGTACCCTGTGCCCAGCCTCCACCTGCTGCCAGCCGCAGCTCTGGGCTCCTTGAGAAGGAGGTCCCCTGAGGCCCCGGGGCCTCAGAGATTGCCCTGACATCACAGTAGCACTGGCTTCTCGATCTTTTCTGCACACCAGGCACCGCATTTGGCATTCCACAGCTCCTTGGGTTCCCGCCGCAACCGTTAGAGGTAAGGGCTTTGTTGTCTCCATGTTGCAGATGAGGAAACCAGGGCCCAGAGAGGGTAAGCAACCTGTCCCTGACCACAGAGCTAAAAAGCAGTGGAGTCGGGATTTGAAACCACAGCTCCAGAGGCATCTTCAGCATGATGCCCCTGCTCCTCCATTTTTCATGCATTACGAGCCTGCTGAGTGCTGGCCACTAGGTTGGGGGCCCCCACTGTGCCCTGGACCTTGGGGGTCCCCAAGGCTGGAGGCCCAGCGGCCCTCCGGATTCCAGAGTGCTTTCAGGACATCACTGGGAGGGGTAAAGCAGGTTGTGGTCTTAACTTCCTGGGGTGGGAGGTTCCCAGAAGCCCAGGGCAAGCTCGGCCCCTTTTCCCTGAGGGGAGGGGGTGGTATGAGTTGGGACACGTCCTCTTTTAAGGGTTCTTTCTTGCTGCTTCTGACCACTTCCTCTTTTCCCTGGGGCGGAGGCAGGCTGTGGCCACACTGATGGCAGGCATCCCAGCAGCAGCGGCCCAGTGGCCGAGGAGGCCTCTGAGCCTCTCCTGGAAGGGCTCGCTCAGCGGGGCTAAGGGAACTTCTCCACCTGGACTTCCATCCCCCCTCCCCCAAGACCCTCCCCTGGGTCCCAGAGAGCAGAAGAGGCGGGGGAGGGCTGGGGAGTGGGCTCCCTGGGCTCTCTCAGCCAGACGGCTGCACATCCTCCTTTCAGGCTCCACCTGGGCTGAATCTGCTTCCAGCAGCTTCCATGGAGGATGTGGCCCAAGTTCAGAACCCTTGCCTGGACAGCCAGACCCCTCAGGATGCTCAGGGAGGTGAGGACCCCGGCTCTGGGTAGAAGCCCCAGCCTAGCACCTCAACACTGAGTGCCCCATGTGGGCCGGGGAGCTGCGGCCTGGGAAGAAGATGGGCACTGAGGAAATGCGGGTTCCAGGCCCGGCTCTGCCCCTTGTTAAGTGGTGTGCTTGACCAGGGGGCCTCAGTTTCTTCATCTGTGCAATGGGCATAAATAATAACACTTAGAAAGGTTGCAGAAGTAAATGTGGGGCTACGTGTACCATGCTAAGCAGAGAGCCTGGTACACGGCAAGGGATTAACATCTTGCCTGTCACTGGGCAGAAACTGCAGCTGGCCTGAGCCACCCAGGAGGCTCCCTCCCCGCAGCCCCTGCCAAGGAAGGCTGCCCCGGCCTGTTTCCTACCCGCCCCAGTGGTCCCCAGCTTCCCACCTGCGCAGGTACGGCCCTCAAGCTCAGGTGGACAAGGATCATCCCATTTCCTCTGTCGCCTGTCGCGTCTCCACCCCATCTAGCCAGTTTGGTAACTCATCGACTTCAGTCGTTGTTGGGGTGTGCGCATGCCCAGCCCAGTTTCATGCCAAAGTCCTGGGCCATCATTTTTTTTTATTGTGGTACAACACACAGAGCATGAAACGAGCCACTTGTAACAATTTTTAAGGGCACAGTTCTGTGGCATGAAGCATATTCACACCGCTGTGCAGACACCACTGCCACCCATCTCCAGAACCTTCTCGTCTTCTCCAGTTAAAACTCTGTCCCCGCTAAACACGGACTCCCTCCCCGCCCGCAGCCCCTACAGCCCGCACTCCAATTTCTGTCTCTAAGAGTCTGAGTGTCCTCCCTGCCTCTCCTAAGTGCAATCAGGCGGCGTTTGTCTTTTTGTGACTGGTTTGTTTCGATTAGCACAGCGTCCTCAAGGTTCACCCACGCGGGAGCCTGGGGCAGAATTTCCATCCTTTGTATTTATGTTTGAATATTGTTCCACTCGGTGTTCAGACCCCGTTTGCTTATCCATTTATCCGTCAGTGGACACTTGGGGTCCTCCCACACCCTGGATGCTGGGAACGATGTTGCTCCGCAAAGGGGTGTGAAAATGTCTGTTCGAGTTCTTTGGGGCGTACACCTAGAAGTGGAATTTCTGGATCATATGGTAATTATGTTTGATTTTTTTTTTTTTTTTTTTTTTTTTTTTGAGAAACTGCCCAACGTCCTGGGGTTTAAGTAGGACACGGGCATCGGGGAAGCCCCTCTGGCCATCCCGTGTACAGGGAGATATGGAATCAGGAGCAAGCCATCATGGGTTCAAAGCCTGGTCCTGCTGCTTCCCAGCGCTGTGACCTTGGGCGACTCGCTTCAGTGTCTCAGCAGCATCTCCTGGGGCTGTGGTGGTACTTAGAGTCTGTATTGAGCTCGGCGCCTGGTGCATGGGGAAGGGGGGGGGGGGCGGTGATGTCAGCTCTGCATCCTCCTGCGTCTGTTTTCCTCTGAGATCTGATCCTGCAACCCCACCACGTCCAGGGCCCCACTCCAGCCTGGCCCCTCCACGGAGCATCCCTCTGGAGCCGGCCCTCCGCCCCAGGACTCCAACTTCTTTCCCCTTTTTGCAGATCCCTGGGAATCTCTTCATTGAGGGAGTTTCTCTTTCCCTGTCCGTGGCTTATGCTCTTGAAAACAAAAGCCAATGGGGCGCCTGGGTGGCCCAGTTGGTTAAGCATCCGACTTCGGCTTAGGTCTTGATCTCGCACTTGTAAGTTCGAGTCCCGCATCGGGCTCAGTGCTGACAGCCCAGAGCCTGGAGCCTGCTTCACATTCTGTATCTCCATCTTCTCTCTGCCCCTCCCTTGTGCTCGCTTCCTCTCTTTCTCTCTCTCTCTCTCTCTCTGACTCACTCTCTGAAGTAATAAATGAATAAACTTAAGAAAAGAAAAGCCAGAAAGTAATGCCTCAGACTAACTAACCCCAGGAGAGCCTGACCCAGGACCAGAGGAGAAACCAAGGGCGCTGACCAACAAGTTGGCCTGGGCACAGGCGAAGAGGAGCCCTTGCTCCTTTCCTTTGACCCTGGCCCTGCCATTCTCAATGACCGGGTCAGCTGTAGGCCCGTGTTTGGGGAAGGGCGAGGAGGGCTGGCAGGCTCACTGAGGACCGCCCACAGGCATGATTACAGGGACGGGGAGGAGGGGCTCTGGACTGAGATGAAAGGAGCCCTGGTTTGGCGCTTTCATCTCCAGGACAGTCAGCCGAGGGTTCTGGTCAGTGAGGGGCGGCTGTGCCGATGAGATCACGCCCCTTGCCGGGCCGCGGCCGGGGCTCCAGGGCCCAGGCCGGCACAGTCCCACCTCTGGTGGAGGCCACGCTGGCATGCGGGTGCTGTCTGGCCAGCCTGCCGGGTCTGGGTCCCCAGCCGCCCCACCCCTCACCCCTGCCCCTGGGGGAACTGCTTCTGCTGACCCGGCATGATTCCCGAAGGAAGGTCAAGGCGAGACCTGGAGGGCTGAGGGCTTTGGTCCTGGGAGACCACACCTGAGGTTGACCCGGGCTTGCCACCTCCGCCCGTGACAAGAGAGGACAGAGAAGCCTCCGGATGCCCCCCACACCCCTGCCCATTCTCTTGCTGTCCCATCCTTCCTTTCCTATTTATTCTTCTCTGTTTCTTTCACCTCATACCAACTGGTAGGTGATTTGGACATTCACAAGGCAGTGCCCTTCTCTTCACAGTTTATCCACATCCAGAACCTGATAAGGAGCCAGCACTCAATTTCACTCAAGTCGGCTCTAGTGAAGGGCTTTTTGCTTGGCCCTCTGGCAGGGCGCCCTACGGCTGACCCTTCTCCCTAGCATTGTCTAAATCAGTCCCGCCGCCAGTATTTGCAGATGTCCCCAAAGGGGCACTGATATCTGTTTTGGGGAATTAAATAAAATTTGCCATGAAGGTTCAGTAGGATCACATGTAGAAAATGCCTGGCACGTTGTAGTTATTAGAAATAATAGTTACCGTTATTTTTTATTTTTAAAAATAATGATTATATAAAAAGGGAGGACAGTATTTATTGAACATGAACTATGTCCCAGATACTGAAATGTTGGAATTCTGGCCTGGGAGTCGAGCTGACTTTCCCAGCCCCCATCAGAAACAGTGACCCCCACGAAGGTCACCATCCCAGCAACAGTACAAAGTGAGGGAAGTGCAGGGAGGGGAAGGACCAGCTGTGTGTTCTTAGGCAAGCTGCCTGGCCTCTCTGAGCCTCTGTTTCCTTTTTTTTTTTTTTATGTTTTATTTCTGAGAGAGAGAGAGAGAGACAGCATGAACAGGGGAGGGTCAGAGAGAAGGAGAGAGAGGGATTCTGAAATAGGCTCCGGACTCTGAGCTAGCTGTCAGCACAGAGCCAGACGCGGGGCTTGAACCCACGAACCGTGAGATCGTGACCTGAGCTGAAGCCAGGCGCTTAACTGACTGAGCCACCCAGGTGCCCTTCTGTTTCCTGATCTGGAAAGAGAGGCTAGAAATCCTTCGCCTCTACTGGGGCCAGGGGTCGGAGGAGGTAAAGCATGTGGGCCATCTTGGCAGCCAGGAGAGTGCTGCCCAGAGGAGCAGATGGGCGGCCCTCAGTGGGAGACAAGCCCTCACCTGTACCTTTAACTGACTTACCTGCTCTTGGCTCCTGAAAGCCATCTCTGCAGGCTTGGGGGCACCCCTCAGGGACACTGAACCTGTGCTCTTCTCCAGAGCACCATGCCACTAGGAAAAGACCATTCTACCAAGTCCACCCAAAGGTGGCCGCTCCCCTGGTGACCCCATTGTGGCCGTGCCACACTGTCATCTGTCCCGTGCCCTGACTGCAGGCCAGTTGACACGTGCTGTGTTTCTAGGGAGCCCGAGGAGGAGAGATGGGCTTGTCCAGGGGCACAGAGGGACTTCAGAGGTTGGTGCTGAAGCTGAGTGGTAAGGCCGTCGCCGTAGAGAATAGGATCACCAAGTCCAGGAGCAGT